TAAAACTCAAATGTTTGCATACTATCAAAATTATCTTTTGATTGTAAAAAGTAGTCGTTTCTGTATAGACTATTTTCAATGCTTTTAAAAACTAATCTTTGAATGCCAATTTTGAAAAATTTATTTTCCAGCTATAAGTTTAAAATTATTAATTCTCTAACTCTATCTTGGACAAATTTCTTACATTCTAACTACTGTTACCAGTCCTAACTTTGTAAAAGTGGTCTGTGCAAATATATAGAGGTGGGAAGTCTGAAAAGTTCTTGGCTAAACCAACTCTCTTTTTCGCACAGCCTCGTTTCTTGTGTGTGTAAAATGTATGTTACACACATACACACACACATATATATATATATATATATATATATATATATATATATATATATGTGTGTGTGTGTAACCTACATTGTGCATAATTCTGTGGGAGTACATCCAGTGTTACCTGCCAAGAGATTCATCAAAGGATATATATATATATATATATATATATATATATATATATATATATATATATATATATATAGTTTTGTTAAAGACAAATTAATCCTTCAGTGACAGGTGTTAATTGGTCTTTTATATGTTACTGTTACTGACACAATAATTAAACAAGAAGTGCTTAATGTCTCTTTCATATTTTTTCTGTTTACTTCAGTGAAATAATTTTGTAGCTAAATAAAGCTTGGTGTGCAGGTGTCCTGTGAAGATCATAGATGGTGGATTTTGTTGAATCAGATTTTGATCAAAACAGCTGTTCACTTTGTGCCTAATACTCTTGGAAAAGGCATGAATCCATTCTTCCCTTCCAGCTATGGATAAATGGTAGGGTACACTGGGTTCCCTAGCCTTAGTTGGCAACCAGTGTCTATGAGACAGCTTAGATCTCAAATTAGTATATCCTCAAAGTGGACTGGTTCCTCTTCAGGGAGTCTGGTCAGAGATGACTACTTTTTGCTAGTACACTGTTACATGTTACAATCTCATTGGTCATGAGTTAAAGTGGAAACATAGTAGAAAATGTTTTATTGCTCTTTTGTGTGCCCCCCCCCACTCTCTATTACAGAGTGAGATTTATTGTTGTCTCATATAAAAAATATTTTACTTGGAAAAATAAGATTTAAAGTGGTCACTTTTTAACACTCTTTTCCTTAAAGGTGCTGTTTGATAATGTTATAAAATTACCAAAGTGTTGCATTTTTGGTTTTAAGCAATTCTTATTCTTCAGAAAGAAAGCCACTACCTTGGCAAAATGGTTAGTAATCTCGTTTCATAAACTCACACTGGGTGCTCTATATGTATGAGACTCAACTTAGTTAATATCTCTTCCTCTTCAGAAGGAACATTTTTCTCCTTGTTACTTTAGCCAAATATTTTGTGTGTAAAATTCACTGATAAGTGTAAACTTATGTCAGAACTTTTCTTTCAATCTTTCTTACCTATTGCAGATTCCCCCCACCCAGCACTGCATATATACACTTCTATGTCTCTTCACACATGCATAGGCAGCACCTAAGTTGGATATGGTCTAATGGTTTTACAGTTGTGATCATTCACTTTAGCTGCTCTCTACTACTTGCACTTATTGACATAGAGGGGGAAAGCTCATTTGCTTCACTGGGAATGCTACTCAACTTTTCTGCTGCTTGTCTACTCATTGGGAATAATGCAGTATTGTTAGGTACCTCCACGAGATCGCTAAAAAAAAGAGTATAGCATGATGAAAAAGACGCCAAAATTGACGAAAACAAAATTTTATCGTTTAAATGTTTGTTATTATTAAGAGGAAAGATCAAAGTATTTTTGGGGTATTTTTTTCCATTTTTTAATCGTTCCTAGCACGTCTGAAATTTTCGTTAAAAATCCAGTTTTTTTTTTAGTCAGCAAAATTGACCATTTTTTTCCATTTAAAAAAAAAAAAAAAACTGGAAATCTCACTTTGAAATTCTTTTAACTATCAATTATCATTTTTTCAAAACTTATTTTAAGAAAATCAGAAATTATGTTTATTTAAAATATTTTGAACCAAACTTAACTTAGCTTTTGTGCCAAAAAGATGTAATTTGAAAATAAAACAAAGCAGGTCATAAACTTTCGCGTCTCTTGACAGGTGATGAATGACATATTTATGAATTCCATGAGGCTAATTTGTTCTACGGAAGGAGAAAAGTGAAATAATTTACATTTAAGTGAACAAATTATTTACCTCATTATTTTTAACGAAAACTTTCAGTGGTCTAATTTTTTTTTTTTTTTTTTTTTTTTTTTTTTTTTGTACTTAGCTTTCGCCTTTATGTTTACAATGCTTTATGGAAAATATATTATAAAGAAATTAAAATAAGACTGTTAAGAGTGACATTAAATTTCATATTTCATAAGAAATGTATCTAATTAATTTATAGGTACCTTTCTTATGAAATTTTATCAGAACTGTACATAAAATACTATAATTTTATGTACATTTATTACATTTTACTGTGTTATTTGTATTTCCATTCATTTTATTATTAATTTTGATATTTCATTTATGGAAAAATGTCATAACTGAGATTAATATAAAAATAAGATCATATAAATTTCATAAGATACTGATACTTGTAGGTACCCTTCTCAGTTGAAATTGAAAAATCAAATTAACTTCTCCACACTACTTTCACAAAAGTAAAGGCCTTAACAGCGGAGAACAATGCTTAACTCAAATAACGCAACTTAATTATATTCTGGTTGGTCTTACGTACTTTATAATTACTGCCCGTTTATAAGCACAAAATTACATTTCTTAATTACTGTGGATCTTCTGATTAATCAAAATGATACAATTTACAACGCTACTAAAAAAAAAAAAAAGATCTATCTCATAAGGACACTTAGGAAAGCCGATCTGACTTTTAACTAATTTTATAATATTTTAACAACTTAAATGTAAAATCTATTATAATTAAAGAAATAACAAATAATTGTATTAAAAATTCATTTTTCATCAAAACTTTTTTGCTTTCAGAAAATATTGTCCATATTCATAAAAACAACTAAAAGCAGATGAAAGCATTTGAAATTAAATAATATCTTTGTTTTATTGAGTTTTGTATGTTACAATTCAGAGCTGATTTTCAGGTACGTTGGCTCCAATTAAAAACAAAAAAAAAAACATGATTTGCATTCCTCAAAGCCCTGTGCTTTTAATTATTGTAATCACTAAAACCAATGCGATCGAATTTCTAGCGTTTTCATAAAATTAGTTATGGGGGGTAATAAATATTTTAAAAAAATATTTCTCCCATGACTTTAATAAAAAAAAAAAAAACATATTTATAATAATTTCAAACATCTGTGAATAGTTCCTGAAAGTTTCATTAACATCCGACAATTATTTCTATTTTTGCACGATTTTTCAAATTAATGTGTCATACCAAAAAAAATGTGCTAAAAATTGTCTCAAGGGAAAGATAGTGCCTGGAGGGATAACTCTCTGAGGCTCAAGTTTAATATTCATTTGAAACTTTAAAAAAAAAAAAAACCTGGTTAGGATTTTAATTCTTCTTTTTCATTTATTTATTTATTTCCGAGTTAACTTTCATTCAGTGAATGCTTGTTTCATTAAACTCACAAAAAACAAACTTCTTAATTGTGACAAATGATACTTTGCATTGCATACCTATTCAAACATTCATGTACAAAAACAAAGATCACTTTCGAATAAATGACATTTTATATATATTTTTTTTTTTTTTTTTTTTAAAGCTAGAACTTGCCTTTTACTGCTGCTCTTTTCACAGTATTTCTTTTGTAATTCCAAGTTAAAAATCATTAGTTTATTTGGCATTTTGATTATATCTGATTATATCACTCATTCAACTGGCATGTAATTTCAGCTTTGTATTGTTATTGCTGGTACTAGGCAGTTAAATATATACAATGTAATTTACTGCTTGACACCTCAAGTTAGGAAATACATATTTTAAGTGTATAAAAGTGTTTAACAAAGGGCTAGTTTTGTTTATTATTTGTGATATGTAACTGTTGACAGCTGACCATGTAACTTATACATTTATCAATATACAAAAATATCTGTCTATTCAAATGTCATAATTGGTAGCTTTTACTCACTGTCTATTTACAGAATTTGTAATTATTTGCAAATGTTAATTCTTACTAATCTTAATTATTATTAAAGTATTGTCCCTGGTATGTCACTGAGCCTGACACGGAGTGCAAAGAAGTCAAAGATTTTTTTTCCTGCTTCTTCCTCTCATCTAAAGAAATCTTGGAGAAAGAACTCTTTGAGCTGCTAGTAGACTTGGTTATCTCTCTTGGACATTTCCCCTTATCAATTATACTCAATTCATTGATAATAGGAAACCTCTAACCAAATTGAACTGGAAATTGCTTTATTCTCTATACTAACAGTATTGCACAAACAAAAATTATACTATGATGTGCCATTTTTACTGTGTTATGACAACAATCACAGAAATTGGACTACTTGTTGGAAATTTTATTCATTAAAACAATTTTAGAATATTGTACTTGATGATATTGTATAGCTTTTATATTGACCTACTATCAGTTTTGATTCTTCATGTAGTATGTTGCACTTACCTGAATTTTTTTTTACTTGTTAGCATAGAAAAATATTTCTTTCAGTTTTACTTTAATGTTGCTTTGTTCAATGAAACTTTCCTCAATCCACAAGTTGAGCAACAATTTTTATAACCATTACATTTTACTTAGAATTGCAAAACTGTTTTCTAAAAGGCAATTTCCAATTGCCATTTATGATTGCACTATTTTGAGATGTTAATCAAATATACTTGGGCATATTGACAATAAAACTAATGAATTTTGCTTACTGCTGCTGCTGAAGCAGTGATTTGTATAAGTGGCATTTGTAAGATAATTGTTTAAAGCTGCCTGTCATCTTATTATGATTGTTCTACTTTTGTACATGTGAGTTTCTGATTTCCTCTGACAACTCTTAATGTAGCGTCTTTTTGTTCTTTTGACAGCTATGAGAGCATGAAGAGCTTATGTGATCGCTATAACAAGGCTATTGACAGCATCTTGCAATTAGTAAGTGCGTTTTTTTGTTTTTTAATTTTTTTTTGTCATTCATTGAATATGCCATATGTATAGTCTCATATCAAAAGTTTATTTTAAAAATTAGTAATAAGTATTGTATCTTTGAAATATCTTCAATGTGCTTAAATATTTTCTCTTACTTTTTACTTTAGCATGAAATAGATTGTGTTATTGTTTTTATTTAAATATGGGATTTTCTTTCAGTGATTTAATTTTAAGTCATTTCAGATGAGTATCATGCAGGATAAATATTGTTTTTCACTATACTATCCTAATGGCTTGTTTTTTTTCTTTTCTTTTTTTTATTCATTAAATGAATTGAAACTAATTAACTATTTTCTTTGTCTTGTTTTAGAATATTATCTTCATTTATTTTGAGTTTCAATTAACACTATGAAACTGTATTTTTAGCCATATCAGGTATACTTCATAAAAAAAAAAAAAAATCACCTGAGATGATTTGGTTACCAGTAATGACATCTAAATAATTGTTTTTTGCACTAAAAACTCCAGAATGAAATGTATGATTATGAACGATTTAAATTATTATTTCAAATCAAAATAATGCCCCCACCACCCCAGTATAAATGAATCATCTGTTCACATTTTTTAAGTATCCCTTGCCAAATTATATATGTGTGTTATCTGGTGGGGAAATATGGTATATATCTAATCTTTAATTAAAAAATATTTTCTGAGGTAACACAAATTGTACTGACTGCATTTGTTCTACTGTCAGTACTAAATCATTACAGAATAATTGTTAGGCTGAAAGCGTATTTAATTGTACCTATAAGCAACAGCATAGAAACATCCGATTTGTCTATTAAATGCAGCTTGTAGTGTTGCTGCTTATCTAATGAGTTTTATGGTGTTGAACAGGGGACAGTCAGTGCAAAATAATTTATTTGCAGAAATGTTCAAGTTTCCTGCTAAAGTAAACCTGTCCATGCCTGGAAGTCCACTTTACCAAAAGTGAAATTACAGAAAATCAATGTTAAAAATATGTATGTATACCATCATCATCCCCTTGAGGCTGTAATTTAAAAATGAATCTTGAAAGTTTCAGCTTATATTTTGATGAAGCGTTCAATGTTGAAGCTTTATTTCAATAATTACTTATTAATTTATTGGATAAAAATTTTAAAAAATTACAGCCCAATTCTTCTGACACTTTATTGATAAAATATTGAAGTTTTTTTTTTTTCTCTCTTAATTTGTCTCTTGTTTTATTTATTCATGATAATCTTTTCCTCTTTCTCTGTAGGTTTTTCAAACTGTCCAAGAATAAACCTTTACACACTATCCAAAGTACATTTTTCTTTTTATTTATAAAGAGGTTAGTACAGGTAATGATTAGCAACTCAAAATGAGCAACCTGTGAGCTAACTTAAAATTCTAGTCTAGTTTTTTATATTTGCTTTTGCACAAATACCCTTGTGAAAGGTATAAATCTCTCTTCTTTCCTCCTAGATATGGGTTAAATAACCAATCAAACTGTGATCTCTAGCCATGACTGGAAACCAGTCTAGTAGAAGAATTACTCTGAATTTAAAACTCAGCCACCTGAAGCTGTACAAAGATGATGAAACATGGGTTACTGATACTGTGGCTGTAAAACAAAAACACAATAGGTTTCAACAATTATGGATAACCCCTTGATCATCCAGAATGTTGTTGACACCAATAGGCATTGGGCCCAAAGGTGTTGAATTTAAGCTTAGAAAAATTACACATGACACCTTGGTATTAGCTTTATTTTAAATACTGCAGGTGTTAAATTTCTCTTTGAAAATTTTAAGGTGTCATTGAAATTTGTACATTGAATATTGAAACACATACACCATACATACATTAGGGAGCAATAAAAAAACATTTTTTGAGTTGAAGCTGCACTTTTCCGGCATCATTTTTGATTGTTACAAAAACCTGTGAAAAATTTCAGACCATTTCATCCCCATTTACCTTGCAGCATTGCGACCGACTTTTTGTCAATTTTTACTGTACACCAAAACATTGGTGTCGTCGTTTACTAGGATAATAATTGTCCATCAGTGACATCAATTTAATTACAATATTATTTAAGAGGTACATTATATTAAAATATTATAATAGTAAAATCTTTTTATGTGGAACCTGAGCATCATTTTCTTAGCCAATAAACTTTACCTAATATATCCATCTTTTGCTTTGTATCCCATCACTTCATTCATCACTTTTATCCCTCTTTCGCACTACTAATGGTGTCTCAAGAATGTCATTAACCCGTTGATCTGATAGTGAAGCAATGTAAGGAGGCTCGGTCTTTAGTTTATTCATCCAGTTAATCATGGTATGATAGTTTTTGCTTGCAGCTTTTTCTGTCAGTGCATTCTTCCATTTTCTGATTCTCCTCTCTAATTTTTCTTATCATTGAAACAACTTTTTCTTTAACAGTCACATCTTCATCTGCACACATACTGAGAAGTTGATATGTGTGGGTGAAGTATACATTTCTCTGGACAAGAACCACATTGGAGCACTAAACATTATAATTATAATAACAATTCCTTTCAGCTTGTGGCTGCATCTTGATGTTGCTATATACAGCCTGAGGGTTCTACTCCATAAAGTATTCCACTTTGACACACAGAGAGGACTTGGCTCAATAGCAGCCAAGTCATCATCAATAACACTTGTATTAACTCCTTTACAAATCCTATACAGGAATTTCTGATTGCAGGACAGATTCTTCTGCACTTCTTCTTTCAGGACAGTGAAATCTGGACGGCAACAACTGGCAGCTCAGACAAAGGCTCCTTGATCTGCTTTCCAATAGGGCCACTCCAATGCTCAGGACCACTTGGTTTACCATCATAGTCCAGTCTTTGAGTTACATGTGTGAGATATTCATTGCCAGGCTCAACCATGATGACATACTGATCTTGCACTATCATCCTTAAACTCTATTTATGGGTCTTCTCATTCTTTATCATTACACAAGTGGTGGTCTTCTTACCATCAAAATACAATGTCATATTTTCAAAACTATGCATTTCTTGCTTCTTCAATCAGTATTTTTGTCTCACATCACATAGCTTATGTGGTCCAATAACTTGACTCTTGTCAATCTTTGTGATAATGCCATAGTCAGTTAAAGCAGTAGTAGCAATGGCAGCTTCAGCATAATCACTAATGAAGAATTGGTCACAAGCAGCAGTCAGTGTGAGGAGTCTTGTCCTGTTCTGTGAACTGACGTTTGTCCAAACTTTTGGATCGGTGACAGGAAGAATCTCTCTTGAATCATCTAAATTATCCTCAACATAAAGAATGTGCCCAGTTATTTGATCTTGATCAAGCTGTCTGCTAGCTCTGTCCACATCTCTCTTAGCATTACTCTGTACCACATTGTCACTTTCATGTCAATCCCTGCAATTTTCATCTTGCTATCATGTGTTGATCAAGGAGGGACTGCATCTCGCATTTGGGAAGTTTTATATCTTGATTACAGGCCAGGTGATACCTGTCTCGTGTCTTAATTTTGCACTTCACATCCTGACAGGGGAATACTAACATCTACAGATATCAAACAACTTCTTCATTTCTTCTTGAAATGGAGCTTTTTGCACACGTTCTTGTTCTCATTAACTTCAATTCCTCGACTGTACAATTTTCTCAACCTGCCTTCAATAGTTTTCTGGCTAAGAGAAACAGTCTCACCAATTGCTTTTTCCCATATTCCTAAACAATAATGGGTGGCCATCTTGATAATCATTGAGACATCTGCAAACTTTCCTTCACTGCCTTAATCAGGTATTGAACTCACACACTTTGGGTTCTGTCACTGGATCTAACCAATGACTTTATCCACTGTGAGGACATCTGTGTATGAATTTCTGGGTATTATAAACCTAATGTCTCCGCAACCATTTTTACCAGTGCTCATATTGCAATTTTTTTTTTTTTGCTGTTATCATTGCATGTTTTTACCAGAGCTCATATTGCAATTTTTGTTATCGCTTTTCTCTGGCACTCCTTATTACTGGTTCCTATATTGTATTCATTTCTATGCTTGGTCAGCTCAGGAGATTTTTGCAACCTAGCATATGTGCTGATTCCTTAAGTTTATGAATTTTCCAATGGTGTTCTTTGACTATGATCTCAACATGATCCCACAGAGGGTGGTGATCTCCCCTTTTCTCTCCATATGTGGTCAGCCATGCCTGATTTTTCCACTTCCCCTTGTGTCACAGCTTTCTGGTGTTCTTGAAGCCTTACCTTAAGGCAGCGACCTGTCTCCCCATTATATTTCTTTCTGCAGCTGCATGGGATAGCATACAGTCTTTAGTCATGTTCTCCTCTATGGCGGGGGGTCTTAATCAGGAGAGATATCTGCGAAGTGTCGTCCAGCTTTTGAAGGTTGTCCTGATTTTATATTGACCGCAGATCCTTTGTATTTTCTGATAACCCCTTCACATAAGACAGACGGTTTACGGTATACGGATGTCTTGAACCCATGAGATGACACATTTATCAACAGGATGAGTGCTTAGCAATGGGCTCACCATTATCACCAGCAATGGCGAAAATATATGGAATCCTTTGAGGAAATGGCATTAGAATCTATATCTCTAAAGCCAACTCTATGGTTAAGGTATGTAGATGACACCTTCATACCCTGGCCACACCAGAATGATGTTCATGTTCTACTGGACCATGTGAACTCAATAAGTCTTCGATACAGTTCCCGATTGAGAAAAAGCGTAACAACACACTCACATCCCTGGATGTTCTAATATCTTGAACAGAGCATGGGTTCAAGACATCCATAAGCCGACATTCACTGGACAGTACCTCAATTTCAACTCCCACCATCCATACAGCGTAAAGAAAGGGATAATCTGCTGCTTACAACACAGCAAAAGTCATGAGTGGCAACCCAGAGACATTAGATAAAGAATTGGTCAGTATAAGTAGTACCCTACAACATAACTACCTGGGTACATGGCAGC